GTTATATATGCATGACTTGTTGCATAAATATGATATTGTCGACCTAAAATACATGTAAATACAAGTGGAAGAAGAATAATACCCAATAGAATAATAATAAAGCCAAGTGCAATTAATGAACCAAATAGATAGAGATAATCAGATGTTAGAAATATAAATGTTACATTCACTGTTAATAAAATAAAACCAACTAATGAATGATAGAATGCAAGACATCCTGCTAAATTGCCCCAACAAACACCTGATTTCCAATTGGAATCGGAAAGTATATTTGAATCAACGTCCATTGTATGATTTTAAGTGTCTTTGTGTAAAGAAAAAAACAAATAATAAACAATTATATAGATGTATGTATGTGTATATATATATATCAGTGGTGTATATTTCGATTAGAACGACAGGAAGAAAAAACAACTGAATGAATTCTTTTATTAGCTGAATGTAATAGTTTATTGAAACAATTTTGTATTATTTTTCATCAGTTATGATAAATTATAAGTATGTCTTGTATCTCTAAATAAAAGACGTTTTTGTTTACAATTAATCTTTGTAGTATTAAACAAGTCATTTTTTGACCCTATTAGTAGTAAGTTTAACAATATCGTGAATTTTTTTTATTATTTTGTGAATAAGTGTGAGGCGAGATTGACTGTATGGTTTGTGGTGTGAGGACATACAAAGCGATAATGATAGAGGGAGATTTCGAGTAGAAATGAACAACGATTTTTCAGATGACCATATAAAAATTTGTTTGTAGACTTCATTTAAAGTGTAAAAAAGACTTTATACTACTAGGGTTAAACAAATTTGTTCTAGAAAATATAAAATAAGTATTAATAAGTTTATACCATATGCTTCTTTCATATTTTTGACAGGTCAGGAAGACACTATTCTGACATTATTTTAGATAATTACAAAACTGCAATTATTTTTGTAACCAATGTTCATGTTTATTTGATTCGAAAGAACGACAACATATGGATTTCGATGTGTTTATAGTAAACGGTATTCATCTGTTGTCACTATTATATCATATATTCTTATAAAATGATATTATTTATTAATGAGAAGAATTGTATATATTCGTTATTAGTTTTATATACAAACGTTTCTCTATATCTAATATATATCTTTAGTTTTAAAAAACAAAATTTCATCACAATATTTATTATTAGATAGACAAGGAATTAAATGGAAAACAAGAAAATACAACGAAATACTTAGAAGATAATCTAAAAATAAGGAGTGATTAATATTTTTTCTGTCACACGCCTTTCAATTTTACTTATGAATTAACCATCAGATATTAAATAAATATTTTGAGAACATTATTAAAAAAGACTTTTGAGTACATATTCTATATAAATGTACTCAAATTTTTATATTTTAAATGATAAAATAGTCTTTTATAATTTTCTTTTAAATTATACAATTTTTGAATTCATATGAAAAAATATATATTTTTAATTTGTTAGAAACAATGATCAGTCAAAAGAAATAAATATATAATTTATAAATGTCAGAAGACTTCAACTAAAAAACAATAATAAAAATTGTAAAGTTCTACTTTTTTTTTGATTGATCGACGTTTAATCATAACAGGATATGATTTAAAAACTAGGTGCATATTCTTTTATTTTCTTTCTTTCATCAAATGAATCGTTTTTTAATTCCCAAAAGCATAATATTCTTTTGTTTATTTCTTTTCTATATAAATGATAATAATCACAATTCAAACTAGATGAATATTTTAACAAAACTATCACATAAATTATTATCTGTCGAAGAAAAAAAATAAAAGAAAAATGATTAGTATATAGAATTCTTTCGATCGTTCGATGTGAATAGAATATTTAATTACTTTGAGATATATGTTTCTTTTCGTAAGATGTTATATTACTATATGCATGATTTAAAAATGAAAGTACGCATTACATAAAGCCATTCTAATCTCTTTCTTATGTATCTAAAAATCTGTGAAATAAAAGATTATTATTATTTGTTATAATTTATCTTAATTATAAAATTCCAATAAATTCTTTTATCATTGTGTTAATAAAGAATAGGATAAATAATGTTATTATTTCTAATAGAAGAATTATGACTGTCTTTTGTGTTTAAATAATATGTCAGGTTTTTGCAAAAAAACAAAAATAAAGTCATTTGAAATTGAAAAATGATATGGGTATGGGTATTTATTTTCATATTTAAAAATTAATAAAACAGATGGTATGTCTGCATGACATTTGCCTTTTCAGATAATAATATTTAAAATAAAGTTCATGTTTTTTTCTTTGTTAAACAACATATGGAAAAGCATTTCTTTTCTATTCTTTACTTTTAACTTATTATATTTTGAATTAAATGCCATATTTACTTTGTTAATATAAGGAGCATTATATGGTACGTTTTTCTTTTATATTTATACAAGTAAGTTTATTATCGATAAACAAAAAAACTATGTAAGTCATATTTGAGATAGAAATTGACAACTTTAGATGACAACAATGACAGATAAGAAAGAAGAGAAATGTCATTTTTCTTTTCTTGTGTAGGTTTGATCTAATAATCAGTTAATTGACTTTAACTAGTTGTTCAAAACATCTTTTATTGATGAGAAAAAATTCTTTTTTTTCGTAAATCATTTTGTTAACTTTCAAAATCTAATTATATCTGCTTTTTATTAAAGAAAAAAAAAATTTGATTAAAGTCAGAAACAAACTATTTATAGACAAAAATTAAGAATTTAATTATATAAGTCACAGACATAGATCAGTTTCTAACAGTTATGTCATTGTGTAAGTCAACTATCTTTTAATAGACATCAAAAACAAGAACATGTCGTTCATTTGAAGATATTGATTATATTTTAATAAATATAAAGAGAAGAAAAAAAAAAGAAACATGATATAGTGTTGCTGCCGTCGTCTGAGTAGCAATAGTTGCCTGTCACCTGTCATCCACCTCCAACGATATTTATTGAGCTTTTCTATAGTGACTTGTCACACAATTATAGACGTCATCATTACCATCAGATTTCTATGTATCTTTTGTATTAATTTGTTAGTATTTACTATTTATAAAAACAAGAAGATACTCGCAGTCTTTTTTCTTTCTTTCCTAGTTGCCTTTTTTTTAATTGAATTCGATTTGTCACAACAGCACGTTAGTTTCTTTCTTCTGCTTTGACGTCAGTATTATCGTCTCATCATATCTTTAGGAAGTGACAATTATTTCTTTTCTTTTTATCTACTCTCATTTATTCACCGATGATCTATCTATATATGTATATATTAGAACATCATTTTCCATACGTTTTTCTTTTTCTCCTTTAAAAATCTACCCAAGAGAAAAAAACACGAGCCGAAAGAAAAGAAACAAGATACTCTTAACAGATCCTACGTCATACTCCCTCGTTCATAATCACAAAGTATTATTCGGGTGTATGGATGACTAGATGTATAAAAAGAAAGAATTTAATTTCTTTTAATTTACAAAATAAAAATATAAGAAAGAACAGGCAATGTTTTTTAATATCTTTTTTTTCTAGTTAATTGAAGAGGAAAATCCAGATAACATTTTATGCGTAGTTTTCATATCAAAATTTGATAGATAGAATGAAATATAACAGATCTTTTTCTTTTGTAATTTTTCTACTATTACATATTGAACAATCGTAATATAATTTATTTATTGATCGATTCTGTCATCATTTTTCTAGCTAATATATGACAATTGAATTTAATGCGATAGATGCATTTTTCCACCCACGAATATCATATTATCCTTAGAGAGTTTTAATAATAAATATATATATTTATGCTTAAGAGATACTAAGAAGAAGCACAATTGACAAGTAAAACATAGAAATTCCAGAAAGAGAATTTCTTATTTTTTTTACTTTTAATTTCCCTTTTTTATTATTTATTATCTTCTTAAATAAAAGAAAGAACAGGTAATCCAGCTGTTTTTTTATGCATATAGAAAGTCTTGAATTCCTTATGTTTTTCTCTTTTTTTTCTCTATTTCTTCGTTTTCTCCTCCCCCTACTGTTTCTATTAGAATTCTTTTTGTCTGACTCCTTTTGCATTCTTTTTCCATTTATTTATGATGAAAGAATGTATACATGCTTATATTCACTCTCTCATAGAAACGTTACTCTCCTTTAATGTACTAAGTAAACTCATCTACATTTCTATTTAGTTTTTAACTATATATTAAGTATTAGTTTTTTTTCTTTAAGCTAATTAATAGAAAATAATCTCGATTATTATTGTAATAATTTAAAGTTAATAATATATAGAAAGAGGAGTAGATTACCTAAATCAAACAATTGTTCTGATTTTTTTCTTGTGAAAACAATATGTCAGGTTTAATAGAAATGCATAAATTTCAAATTATTTAAACATGAATAAAATCCTAAAATTTTATGATTTTTTTGTTGACTGAGTTTGAAGATAACGAGTGAGAAAAAAGAACTTGAAAATATGCATGATATATTTTAATCATTTATCTATTGTTATTTATTTATTTATAAAGTAAATTTTTCTGACATTTTCTATTTTCTCAGTATGTTGCTCGATATTTAGATTGTTATCTGTCTATGTTTTCTTTTTTTTGTTAAAGTTCCACCAATAAAAGACTTTGAGAGATTTTAATGAATAAAAAAAAGAATCAGAAAGGGAAAAACACAGTATGTGATAAAGGAAGTAGAATTGTTGTAGATACATAATTCTAAATGCATGATTTACTCTCATTCTAATAAAATCAGCACTATTCTGACACATCGACTAGAAAATAAATAGTTAGAATCATTTTAGTTCTATTCATCGTTCGGCATTCTTTGTTTTGTTAATAGAAAAAATTTATTTTTAATAACGATCTATTCATTGAATATTTTCGTTGTTTTATTATTAAGTAAGAATATAAATTATATTTTTTCTTCTAGATGTTAAAGATTTTCTCATAGAAAAACAAAATCGAACAAAAAAAAAAGAAAGATGGTTTTAACAATCATATTTGGTATTATAGCTGCTGTATGTCTTGTTTCGTCGTTAATCTTTTATGTATTTATGCGCCCACAAAACAATCTTAATTCATCAAACAATGAAAAACAACAAATTATACATTCATTAAGACCATCAATAGATATAATAATAAAAAAATTAGATGAAGAATTACCATTTCGTTTAAGTACATCGAGTAATAAAACAAATCGATCATCAACACCAGTCGATCATTATGAAACAAATGAATTAATTCATAAAAAACAACATCGATCAGCTGGATCAATTTTTCCACCAATAACACAAACACGTTCACCTAGTTTAGCTACAGGATTATTTCCAACACATCGACCACGTAGTATACATAGACGACAAGGTTCAATTGTTGATCCAAATCAATTAGCATTGATTCAATTTACTCTTCCACCAACTAATAATAATAATAAATATCGACGTCGATCTGTAGCGATATGTAATAGTATAAATGAAACAAAAGAAAATTCAATAACAATAAGAGATCCAACATTACCATGTCTTCTTTCATTTTCAATAACATATTTAACAAATTCACAACTTAAAGTTCAATTTAATTCTTTACAATCATTACCATCAACTATTCATCTTCAACAATTAACTATTAAAGTTAAATTAACACCAGATGGAAAAGAAAAATCGTTGTGTATTAAGAAAATGATAATGAATGAAGCAACATTTGGAGATGAAAATTTTATTTTATTTTCAAATATACAATTTGAAAAACATAATGATAGAATTTTATTAATGACAGTTAATGGAAAAGATCTACATAAAAAAACAATACATCTTGGTCAAATTGGAAAAATTCATTTTAATCAAATAAATAAATTTGAGAAAGAAAATCGAATTGATTTCATACATGAAGTTGAAAAAATGAAGCCAGTAAGATAATATTCATATATATATATATTCATATATTTATTTATATCTTTTTTTCTCTAGTCATCAGTTGAACTTCTTATTGCTCTTCGAAAAAAAGATGATCAACATATACATGTAGATTTATCACGTATAAAAGGATTAAAAATCGATCAAAAAAAACTCGGTTAGTATTTTCTTTTATAATTAAAAATAATAAAATCTTTGTTTATTAGATGCAAAATGTTATGTAAAAATTCTTCTTCTTGATCGTCATCGAATATTATCAACAAAAATAACAAAATTTTATTCATTAAATTCATCGAATTTTAATATTGGAGAACAATTTGATTTCAATATTTTAACATTCGATTCAAATAATCTTGATCGTTTAATGTTTATGTTTAGTTTATATTCAAATTCAAATCCTGCAAATGAATATAAATGTATAGCTCGTGTTAAACTTGCTTCAGCATTATTCTGCTCTGGTAGCGGTACTATTCATTGGCAACAATTTAAATTACGAGAATCATTTTCAATGTGGCATACATTAAACAAAGAACAACATTAATTATTCTATGAGAATGAATGACAAAACAACTGAATGAATTAAAATTTATTTTTAGGATTTATGCTGGAATCCATCTTTTTTTTTATTAAATTGTCAGTAGTTTTTTGAAAAAACGACAATAAATTAAGACATGACGCAATTTAAATTGTTTTAAATTTTTACAATAGAAAAGTATTCATATATGTAATTACAGAACTTTTCTTTTCTTTTTCTCATATCCAGGCTTACTATTTAAATATTTTTATGCATCGTAAAGTTCAGTAGTGTAATCAAGTTTATTTTAACTTTCTAATTATAACTATGCATACAAATATGACTTTACGAATGTACTATTATTGAACAAGGCAAACTATTTTATATGATCTTTTTTTTTTGAAGAAAAAAAATGATATTCATTAAGATAAACACTTAACAAGAAATATTTTAAGATAAGCACACTCAACGAAATGAATAATTAATATACCAAAGAAACCTTTCTATACTTATGAAAACATTTTTGAGATAAGAACAAGTCTGATTAATCAACTTCTATGAATATTATTATGGTTTATATGTAAATGACATATATTGAATTATCAAGAAATATTCAACACATTTATAATCGAAATTTAATACAAATATCATTTGATATTTTTCTTTCATTTCAAACAAAATATCGTATTTTCTTATAAAAATATATATTTAAATAATACTATTTAATTTTTCTAAACCACTAAAATATTGTTTTTCTAATTATACTAAAAGCATACTGTAAAATATAGGATACAAACTTATTTCTACTCTATGAAATGAAATGAAATGAAAGGAACAATGTAGACAGATTTGTCTTCTGTCATTATCAAAAAAATTCATATAATTTTTATTGTGTCATTATTATGTTAATTTGATAAATGCTAGTTTGTACTTTTTTTACAGAGTATTACGGAGTTTTTTTAGGGTATTATGAATTGCGTAGTCAATGATGATATTTTATTCATGTTTGTCATATGTTAAAAATTGTGTTTTTTGTGAAATAAACTTTTCAACTATATAATTTGATATTTATGAATAAGATTTTCTGAGACATATGCGACATTATCTTTTCCTACGCACATATTATCATTAAGTTTTTATAAGATTTTGCGATGCAATAGAATATTTTATTTATTAATTTCTTTTAGCGAAAACCAACAGCATTATTATGTGAAGATGTAAAAAAATGTCATTAAAAAGAAACAAGTTATTTAAAATAGAATATATTAGTTTTCAAGTATTTTAATATATCTTTTCAAAATGACCATGACGTATAAAATTATTCACACATCGCTTATTTATATTCTAATTTTATGATATTTTAAAGATTTAAACTAAATCACAGAAATAAAAATATCAAACAATACTTTAACTGAAAGTAATATTCTAGTAATTAAAACACGGGAGTGCATATTTAATATTTGTTTTCATCACAACACTTGTCTGGTATTTATTTATACCTAAAATACTAATAAAAGGATTCTTTATAAATCCTTCCATGAAATCTAATATCAAAAATATGAATTTATGGGTTTTAACTACATAAATATTTTTCTAATCTATAGTTGCAGTACTTAAAGTCAAAAGGTTAATACATATAAAATGAGATTTTATTCAATCTATTGTTATTTTTTTTTGAAGCAAGATGAATTCTAACAAACGAATATAAAAATAATATTTTAAATTTGTACACTCTTCAATGCTCTTATAAAATCTTTTTTTTGCAATAATTCAAACAATATCACACAGCTATTGCTAAATTATTTTTCTGAACTTCACATAAGTTTCAACAATCTATTTCATAAATGTAACGAAAATATAGATGTGGGTGGGTTCATGCATCTTTAAGGTAACACTCACACATACCCCCAAGATTTATTTGAGAGAGAAGAACGAAAAGCAGTATATTTTGTTATTGCTTATGATATTCATTGAATATATTGATATAGTTTCTTCTTGCCTTGTTAAAGTTTTTAGCAGTTTAAAATGTTGCTGATTGCTAACTGAGAAAAACTCAAATCAGAGGATTTGCCAAGTCTGATATAGATGTCTAAATAACATGATATATTCCATTCGTTTATTTATCGAATATTTTGGAGACAATATTCAGTATTCAACAATAAGCATGAAATAAATTAATACTGTTATACAGCAAAAAATTAGTTTGTTGAATCATTATATGGTTACTAATAATTCAATTTGTAGTTAAGTTTGATTGGAACCGACAGAAATATTACTATATAGTCATTTTATAATATTATATAGATAAATATTTATGCATATAAAATTCTATCAGTACACAATCACGTACCATTGAGGGTGTGGATGTAGGTGTGAGCTTAGATTCATCTTTTCTTCACCAACATCCACTTCACACCCTTGTTTAACGAAAAGGTATTCTTTATTTTAATAATTACCAAACAGGTCTACTTAAATCTTTCTATTAAAGGGTAAAAACGAATGGAATCATGGTTATTTAATTAAACAATGTAACAAATCTTAAGATAATGTTCTAATCAATGTTCAAAACAATTATATATCCAACTCATTTTCGAAAGGAAACTGTTAAATGTATTCTTTCTACCTCACTATGTTCTACTATCACAGAAACTTCGATATATCAATACAGATATTTATTTTCAGAAACACAATGTTATCTTTATCATATACGAAATAACGTATATAACCATTTTCTTTCAAGAATATTATCGTTTTTATTTTTATTTCATTTACTTTCTTATTTCAATTAAAAAATATTTTCAAATAAATACTAATGATTACATTTTTATGTTAGACATTGTTCAACAATTGTTTTTTCTTTCCACAAATGAAAATAATCAGAAAATCTAGTTCACCTTCACGATTTAAACTAATAAATAAAGGTTACAATTCTATCTAAACAAGCATATGTCAGGCCGTTTCGTTCTGAAGTGAATTAAAATAATATGATAAATAAACCCTGTTTACTTCGTTCGATGACTTATTTAACTATTCTTCTTACACAAAGATTGTTGATTTCTTTTCTCATAGTATTATAACAAAGAATTCATTTTCACTAGAATGATATTAGATCAGATATTAACTTTCGACTATTTAAACAGCTCAGTCTATCACATGTATTTATCTCAGACGAATATTTTTGTCGATTCTTTATCATATCCAGGTCTAGTCATTGTTCTTCTCTTCGTATGAATATCATGTTAACCGATTCATATTGTATACATCATTTGTTCTCGACAATCAAGTAAACTATCATATATTTATTTATTCATTGTACATTAAACAATTTCTTTGTTCTAGTTAAATGATGGAAATATTAACAAAATTAATTATTATTTTTGCGATTAGTACAATTTATGTTGAAGGAAAAATCTCTTCAACAAAAATTAAGGATGATGCTGCAAAAATGGTTGAAATCTATCGAATTTATACAATGTCATCTCAAAACACAGTTTATCATATTTTTTCAGCACAATGCTCTACAATAGGTTATTGTTGCACTGATATATTCAATCAGACATTCGACATTCTTGACAGTCATGCACTTGAAGAAAAATGTATTAATCATCCAGAACTAATCTTGGAGAAATATAAAACAGAATGTTCACAGGAAAAAACATACTTGAAGATGATTGAAAAAAGTTCGGAATATGGTCGATTCATGAAGCTTCATCGTGGAGTTGCAGGAAGTGATCAACTAATTAGAAATTGGCGATCACAAATGAAGAAAGCATGTAATGCAAATGAACTTAGTCGTTATTATTGCTTTCCAAATGATATGGATACATTTCAGTCATGTCAAGTAAAAATGTTACAATCACTCGCTAATAAAAATGGTGGAAAAAATTATGATGCTTTTCTTCACAATTGGATCAATGACTTTACTACATATAACAAAAGAATTGCCAAAGCATTTCCACAATCAAATTAATTTTTCTTCTTATTGAAAAATATTGTACTACTTATCTTTTTTTCTACTAAATATAATTCTATAAATACAGAATAATCAACTTTGTAGTTAACAAGAAATTTTTTAAAGAAAAGCAATCGAAATGAATTTTGTTAAATTCTTATTTGAAATTGATCACGACCACTTAAGGGCAAAAGACAATTCTAATTAAATACCATTTATTTATTTTAATAGTTTCCCTTCAGGATGAAGACTTTTTCAATAGTTTTTATAGATATCAGTGTAAAAGAGACAAGTTAGAAAATTGATCAATGATAAACTCAGTTGAAGAATATCAAATAAAACAACGTAAGTTTAAAGATAATTCAATCTTTATTTGTCTTCATCTTTTGCTTGTACGAACAGAACGTACATATATTCTATTTTTTAACAATTTCTTCCAAGAGCACATTTATCACATTTGAATATGTGAATAGAAATAAATGAAATGAAAAAGATATGATTCTAAGCAAAATATGAGTGTGGGTGTGTTTGGATGTCGGTGTCGGTGTCTATCACCTCATAACCCACCCACACGAACAACCACACCCACCATTCGCAAGTTGTAATGTACAAAATAATTCTGATTCTTTTTTAACAGAAAGTTTTTCGTTCAGATGTATTTGGAAAAACTGTCCGTTACCGTACGTTTTTTGTTTTGCAAAATAAACTGTTAAAGGTGGAAATCTATTGACAGAAGTGGATCACTATTTTCTACTAACCGCCTAGCTGGTCACATACCATGACCACAAGGTAAACGGTTTTTGGCTGAAAAAAGTCCATAAATAAATTCTCGAAGATATTGACTTTGAAGGGTACCTGATGTGTATACTCCATTCATTGCTACAATTGTCCATTTTGTACATAAGCATTTTGAATTGAATCTGTGAAATTTTGTATTTCTTCATCAATATTAGAACCGACTACCTAAGCAGGTTTTTCATTAATAATCGCTTTAAGAGGACTAACATTTTCAAACTCATCTTGATACATTAATCTATAATCAATATCGGAATTCAACGATAAATCTGATAAATTTCAACCAATACTAGAAGATATGCCGTTAAAGTGACGATGAATAGAAGCAAAATGATCAAATGAAACGTGAGAATGATAACAAAAAATCAATACTTTAGGCAGTTCTTTTATATACAAAATATGGCCATCTGTAGCGAAAAAATTATCGAATGGTATTACGGGTAATTTGAAATTTCTACCCAATGTTTTAAAATGGCATACAAATATTTTACCTTCAGAATCAAAAAAAGCTTTTTCTCGTAAGAAAAAAATAACAGAACCACATTTTATATTGATGATTACAAATATTGTAGTCATTTTATTGCATTTGTTCTCTTTCTCACGTTATGACACGTGTCGTCAAGATAAAATGGTAAGGAAGAATACATATATATATATATAACATACGTTTAATAGTAAGTAGCGCAAAATAAAAGCAAGTAGTGAAGAGTATTGATTTGTTCGATTAGGGTATGTCGAGATGAATATTTTTCCGTTTAGAATCCTATATCTGTAAATCTTATTAAAATTTTTTTAAAATTAAATCTAATGTTTAGACAATAAAAGTATTACTTTCTTCTTTCAGACAAAATAATAATGAATCAAAATGCAGACATCACAAATTTCAATGGGAGCGCCACAGACGTTTGTAAACTAATCCTAATTGGATTGGAGGGAGTTGGAAAGACAACATTACTTAACGAAGCCTGTGGAGAACATTTCGATACGAGTGATGGACGTGCCGGTTGCCTAATTAAAGAAAATCAAAAGGGTGTATTCTTTGTTGATGGATTTTCTCGTCGTTATGAATTAAATGATATGTTAGGAATTAATTATAAAAATCCTGGCGAATGGCAGAAAGCACTTCATGGACGTTCAGAAGTACACGGTGTTATTTTTCTACTTAGTGCAAGTAATCCTCGCGATAGTGCTCTTGGTGAATTACCTCGAATTTATGAATATTGCTCGAATTTGACTATTCCCGTACTTTTTATTTATCGTGATGGAGTTCTTCGCTTTACACCATTCATTCGAATCTATGCAGAAACGAGAGAGACTACCATAGACGATGAGGAAATTGGTTGTAAAATTAGTAAAAATGAATTTTTTCGTTATCAAAATTTGGATGAAGTGAAAAAATGTATTGCTACAACCTTTCAAAATGCTTGCATATTACATCAATTACTCGATCCAATTACTATTTGTGGACAAGTCAAAGTTTTACGAGAAAAGAACGAAGAATTAGAAATGAAAATTAACGAGCTAAATCAAAAACATGAAGCTGAGTTAATCAGAAACCAAGAAACTATTAAGCAACAAAGTAAACGATATGATGAACAAATTGAAAAACTAAATCGATCACTCGAAGAAGCTGCATCGAATAATAAAACTATGCAAGAAAGACTTGATCATATTGTGCAGAAAAATCAAGAATCACTCTTTAAAATTAGTAATGATATTCAATCATCAATTAATGAAAATCAACGTCTTCGAATTTCTCTTGAAGAACTTATGAAAGACAAACAAAGTCTCGAAGATAAACATTTAAAATTAATGACAGACAAAAAACAATTGGATTTCGATTTTCATGATATTACTCGTGATCGAGAACAAATTCAAAAAAATAAAACTAAACTAGAAAAAGATATCACTGAAGTGGAACAAAACAGACAAACTTTACTCAAAGAAAAACGTTCATTAGAAGCTCGAAAAGAACATTTAGAACATCATATCGATGAGACTCGATTACGTCTTGAAGAACAACTTAATCTTATTGTGAGTGTCATCCATACTGCACCAGGTGGAAACAAACGAATTTATCCAAAAAAATACAATACAAATGGAAGATGGATGTGGTTACCTGGACGAGCATACGATGTTATTGAGAAATTTGATGAATTTGGAGAAAGTACGAAAGATGTTATTTGCACTCTCAGAAAAGATTTGCGCAAAATCGATGCTAGATATGATCACACTTCTGCAAATGTAATCGAAGAAGAAGACTCCGAAATTGAATCTTAGCTTTAAATTGTCTGTATGATGAATATTGTTCTCTAAAAAAAAATTTGTGTAACTGGTTTAAATAGAAAAAAATTGACAAGATTAATGTTTTTTGTATACACTATAATGGGATTATGCTTGATGTATGTAAAATCAAGGCATAGATAAACAAATTACACCCTCTATGGTATAATCACCATCATCGCGTTTTGATCGATCGAAAACAATAAAATTCATTAGTTTTAAAACTGCTTCAGGATGTATCAAACTAATACGATCTATTAACATAGTCATGAAACTAAAGATGAATACGATCAAGTCAGATGTAATTCGAATCATCTTGAGGGTGTGAGTGTGGGCTTTTCTCTTTTATCCATCATCGTTACCACACCTACACCCACCGCCAGTTTCATTGAAGCTAGTCGAATATATACAGATTTTAAATCACGAGAAACTTGCAAGTGTTCGGGCAATTGTAGCACGAATCGGTATTACTACAAGCAAAATAATTGAAAATGCTGTACGAAATGTCACAGCGATAGTCATTTAAAATGTAAAGATTACTAAATTTTTCTTTATATTTATCAATAGTAGACTATAGATTTTTTTTTGTTTACTATAGTTGTTCTTTTTTCAATACTTTGCTTTGTTTCTGCCTCATCCATTCAATAAAAGACTAATTTTGATATCGAAAACAGTTTTACGATTATTCATTTTAAAATCAACTAGTTGATTCTTCAATTTTAAAGCCAACTCCGGCATATATAAAACTTATTTTCCTATGAAACGTACTTGTCCATTAAATCTTTGAATTTCATTAAAACTTAATTTAGTTTTTTATATTCATTCAATAGATATCTGGACGTTCATAACCACGCTATAACTCTCACAACATGGTTAACAAAGAATTACTTATAACATCATAATACAAATAATGCTTATCACAAAGAACGACGACAAAATAAATTTTGTTATTTTTTTGTTGACTATCTAAGTTATGAACATTTAACAACTTTTTAGTTTTCTAAATACATCTATTTGAAAAAACAAAATCGGAGTTTATTAATGAACACATAAATAATAAATTATTAATTGCATATAATATGCAAGGTTTAAAGTATAAAGATCATGTTTGAAAACAAAAAGATTTATTGTTTTCATAAATTTTGTTAACTTATTTTTCTATAAATAAAACCATTTAATCGATTTTTATTCCAAAATTAATATAATTTTTTTAATAATTAATCACGTATTTTACAATATTTTCGAATTAAAAAAGTGTTTTTTTTCACAAGTATTAGCACATTGAACATTAGTTTCTATGCCATATTGAAATACAGAACCAAAAAATGTGCTCTTGACTCTTCGTTGTCCGCAATGAGAAGAAAGTAAAAGAAAATGAAGAAGAAAATAAATCTATATATAAAAAGTGCACTCTAAGAGACAGAACGAAAGGAAACGACAAAAAACTATTCGTACTGTACTCTAACATCATATATATCTATTGTACAACGATAAAGAGTAAGTTGATTTGTTATGAATTCGATTTCAACATCAGAAGACTTTGAATGATTTTATTTCTTAAAAAAATTTTTTTATTTATGTAGACTAATATCTCAGTTTTTCCAAAGAAAATAATATGATTATTTGTAAAAATTAGTAGAAAGGATACAGTTTTCAATCTTAATAAGATTTTTTTAGAGAAAATTATTCATTTTTTTTTGTTTTACAAACATTTTATATAATCATCGATGAGAAAAATTTGTTCATTGTTATAGTTAACATTTTTTTTGCATTAATTTCTCAAAATCTTTATGACAAAAAAATATCTTCTATGAGAGGAAAACATGCACTGCAGATGACTCGATGAGCAATAATTGTAATAAAAATGATTTTTATAATTTTACCTAAAGTTTCGAAGAATACTTTTGGAAATAGAAATAAAGGTGACAAGAATGTTTGTCTTTGTCGAGTTCATTGTCTTTATTATACGTAAGTTGAATCTATCAAACACTTCCTATGTACAAAAATATTAATTATATTTTCAACTGTATGTTTTAGAATTTAACAATATTTCTTACAGTCGATGTCATCTAAACGAAGACTATCTGCATCACAACCATCAAAGTCACCACAAGAAATTGATGGTGATTCAAATGTAAATAAATCAGAAGATTCATCTCGATCAGATATTTGTCTCGTATGTGGTGACAAAGCGCGTATTATTAATTATGGTGCACTTTCTTGCCTATCATGTAGAACATTTTTTCGTCGCAATGGCTTTCGACCAGATGTATGTATTTAAGAATCACTTTTAGTTTATTGTAACATGTATTATTTTAATTAATAGGGTCTTCGTCCATGCTGTTTTAATAAATGTTGCGAAATTAATATGCAAACACGACATACATGTACAGCTTGTCGTCTTACAAAATGTTTTACGATGGGTATGAGCTCAGATTTAATTCGTAAAGAAGATACAAAAAAATTAAAATGTACTTCATCATTAAAACAAAATTCTACTACTAACCAAAGCACATCTCAACAAGTCACAGTTCGTATAAATGTTATAATATTTTCATTCTATATAGATATATATCTACTAATATTCAACCATCTGAAAAATTTGAAGTAGAATAATTTTGGATTTAAAGATTAATCTTGTATATTGATTGTACTAATCAAGTTGCCAATTTTTCTATACTAAGCATAAGAAAGTATGAGAAGAAATGAGCTGATGGTTCTATTGACAAGTCTATACGAGAGTTAAAATCTAAAATACAGATGTGTTGAATTTATTTACTTGATTTAGACTGCACCACAACTAGTTACATCAAATATTCTTCACAGGGATCAATCATCTCATATTGATTCTCAATGGACATTATTATCAAATATTGTACATTCTCATAATACATTTAGTACCATGTCACAAATGCTTTTTACTGTCAACAATCCACCTGCATTAAGTGTTGAAACACATAGTATTGTGATTAATCCTATTGAAATTATCCATCAGATGTTTATATCAATGCAATCATTTATTAGTTCATCACCAGATTTTCGAGTATTAACTCTGAGTGAACAAACTTCATTGTTCGAACGAAATTTACCTGGTGTTGTTGCTTTTTACTCAACTCTTTTTTTTCGCCATACAGGCATTCTTCGTATTCCTGAATATCTCAATGC